TTTTTTTTTTTTTTTTTTTTTTTTTTTTTTTTTTTTTTTTTTTTTTTTTTTGATGTAAAGCTTGATTATAACCAATTCAACGATTAACTCTCACGAACTAAGACTAGTATCTCATCCTTAGGATCAATAACTTGAAAATTTTGAACAAGACTCAAATTAATGACAAGAACGGAATACTTTGAGACATTTCTTTGATAATTCGGGAGACTCAGAAAAATTGACAGAAAAAGAATAACATAAAGTAAATATATTTTACCTCTAGAGCCAACCAAAGAACGTCGACCAAATGCTCTGATACCAAGTGATAAGTACCAACAACTGTTGGATTTGCAATGCTAGAGGTCCTTCTAGGATCTTTGCAAACTATCACAAATAAAGCTAACTCAACAAATGATTCCAACCAAGAGCTGTTTAGATGGATGAGTAACTCATAGATCAAACTTGAAATTTATGATGGTTACTCTTAGATCTCAAGACGACTCACTTCAGAATTAGCTTGATCAAGACTAATCCAATGAATTGGTTTAACTTCAAACATAAAGCAAGGTTTGAAAAAAAATAAATAAAATAACACTCAGGGTTTTCAAGAGAACATAAGGTTGTTGTATTCACCATTATCCTCAAACTTGAATATTACATGTCTTTAAATAAACCAAAAAGATAATTCAAACATAATGGTAGTTCATCTCCCAACAACCAGCTACCCATAAAAGCTATTAAATAAAAATTGAAGAAAATAAAATATGATATAAATAGTTTTAGATGGCAGTTCAACTACCAAAGACAAAAGTCTTCAAATCACTTGAATCACTTTCCAATGTCAAGTGATGTTTATTGTCACTCCCTTCTTTTCTTGATTTGATATACTACTACTGTAAAGATTTTTGGGCTAAAATTTTTTTGTTTCAACTTGTACATTAGCTAGCTTTTGAAAATGTAGCGTAAAGGCCTCTTGAATCTTCTTTACTTTGCTTCTTGTAATTGCTACTTCAAATACATTTCAAATATATGCAAATGATTACAAATACATGCAATTGATTAGTGGTTTGATTCATCTCAAAGCTTTTCAAGCATACAAAATACATATTCTAATAATACTTAGGCATTTCTTGAAGAAAGTAATAATATGGACCAAAACCAGACTTAACTTTCTTGTTCTGGTCTTTAAAAAACCCTTATTACATAATTGCAATTCTCAGCTAACTTTTTGGCGGATACTTACTGAAAGAACCATCAATTCTACACAAACATTTATATTACTACTTCTTGAGAGGCCAAGCTTTCACATTATTTAATGACTACTGGTAATCTAATTTTCTCAAATCTTTGCACTGTGAACTTCCCAGTTTCTTAATGCTGTAAATTGAATTTCGACTAGCTTTTAATCTACTTTGCTTGCTTTTGTTAGTCATGCAACTTTGGGTCTCTATAAGAAGCTCCATTATCGTGCACCGAAAGCCTTGAATAGGTATGTATGTACAGGATAGTCCTCCCTTTATTAATGGGCATCATATACTTCGTTCTCGGCTCATTTATTTGATTTTATTTACATGCAGATGGGAGATGTGTGCACAACCCAAGGTGGTTCTGAAAATAGAAAGTGAGGAAGACATGCTAGTTTTGCAAGTAACAATTCCACTATGATTTCCTTTTTCTAAGAATTCCACTGTGATTTTATGGTATCTTGCTGATTTTTTGCTATCCGTATATGTCGAAAGCATATCACATTTGCAGTTGGTCAATATTTATTAGTTTTTCTAGTTTGTGCATATGTATTTATAATAATGATGTAAGCTTAATTTTGCATAATATCTGAGACAATTCTATACAGCTTGATCTTTTTTATATTTCTTCTATTCTTTGAGGCTTCTGAGTTCCCTCTGATTCTTATACTTTTAGGTGTTGATCTTAGTTCTTTTAGTTTTCAAACTTTTATATATTATTGTACATCAGGAGAGGGCAAAATCATTGAAGCTACCAACTCATATTACCATTGATGCCGGAAGAACTCAAATTGCTCCTAGTAAGTTATATGAAATTCACTTAAATGGGTCGACGTTTTAATACCAACTTTATCAAATTCACTCATTTTCACTTTTTTGTTCTTCTAGATTCGAGAACGGTGATGGCAATTCTTGGTAAGTGATTTTTTTTCCATGCAACCATTATATATTAATCAAGGAGTTTTCTCTTTGCTGCCTTATACAATTTAAGCATTCCTTTTTGGCAAAATTCCTCAGATAAATTTTCAGACTACTTTGGGAAGCTTTATTCTATCATAATAGCCCAGCAACCTCCCTACCTCTTTTGCGTTTTTGTTATAACTCATGTTTGGTTAGCTTAGCTGGTGGATCTACTGAACAATTTCATATTGTTGCATTCCTACTTGAATTAGTATTGGGGTATATTGGTTCGTATCGTCTCAATTTGAGTGTCAATTGGAACTGAACCACAAGAAATATAAAGAAAAATGGAAAAACTGAGCCGAGCCGAGCCGAGCCGAACCAAACCATTCTATGACGCATAACCAAACTGCCCAAACTGTTAACCATTGGTTTAGCCAGTTTGATCTGGCAGTTAGCCATTTGCAATAACTCCAAGAAACAAGCTGGTTTGGTTGGACTCTGTTCGCCTTGCCAAAATTGAGCCCGACCGAATTTAATTGGTTTTCCTTGTATGCAAACCAAACCTGTTCCAGACCTAATCAACATTGGTTTCGGTCAGTTAAAGTGATTTTTTTTGTCAGTTTTTCGTTGCACCCCGAATTAGTATTAACTAACTCGATTCATCCAATGAGATATGAGTATATCAGTAGTGTATAGACTAATACACTTTTTACTTCACAAATTGCAGGTCCTGTTGAAGTGGTTGATGATGTAACTGGTGGGTTGAAACTCTTGTAGTTTCAAAATTCTTGACTGTTACCACCTCAAAATTCTCGACTGTTACCACCTCAAAATTCTCGACTGTTACCACCTCAAAATTCTTGAAGACTTCAGGTCTGTAGCAGAAAGCTCTGCAAAATCCATCCATGCTTGGACCAACAACACGGTATGAAACCAATCTACGCAGAGCTAAGCTATCGCGATTCTAAATACTATTACCATTTCTGATGATGACAATGATGACCATGTCTAAGTTAACCTATTTCTTATGCAAATAGAAACAGTTGGGAAGTTCTTGGATTACCTTGCTTTAGAACTATCTATATTTCAGTCTATTCTCTATTTAATTTGTTTCTATTGCATTGTTTTAAGGATTTAGAGTTTATATTCAATCAAACCAAGTTCCATTTGGTTCGTCCAAGTTTCAACACGTATGCAAATAATGTTTATAAAGATCATTTCTGGACACTTAATCACATAGCATATATGTTTTTCTTACGGTTGAATTACAACATAAGCATGTAGCTTATTTATGTACTCCCTGATACAAAAAACTAAAACAAGGCATTGAAAATATGTCAATCAACCGAGATGAAAATAGCAAGCTAAGAAGAATAGGTCCTCACTCCTCACATTGTTTTGGCCAAATACATGTGATATATATGTTGGGGTATGATCAGGGCTACACAAGTTTGGACTTGCAGCGATTCTTGGATGAATTAAGATCTTCCCTCTTGTTTAGCTTGATCCTCAGCTAAAACCTTCTCCTTTGTTTTGTGACTGACTTCTACGGCCGCTTTTGCGACTCTTTGAAACGTCTGGGTAACCCAGGAAGCCCCGGTTGAGACGTACCGGTTAGCCATTAAGGCTGTTCCTGCATTGTTCACCGCAGCCTTGGTTTTCTCAGACACTTGAAACTTCTCATCCATTTCTTTCACTTTCTCATTCACCACTGTCGTGCCAACGCTAATCTTCTCGCTAAGGCCGATCTTTTGGTCCAGAGAAAGGACTTTCGATGAGGCTGTTGATGTCAATTGGTGCTTCTGGTCAAAAGACTTTGCCCTATTGAGGGTATCTTTGCCCAAAGTGAAGCCTTTAGCCAGCATGCTGCTCACAACATCCTCGGCCTTTTGCATTGCAGATCCAGCAGTACCAGAGCCTGCGTTCTCTGCAGACTGGTGAAACATGTTTGTTCATTCATGTCAGAAATTGGAAAGACAGGATTGAAAATTACTGTAGGATTAAGATCGAAGAAAATACTGGAGAAGACACTGGTAGAGGGGCACTGGCAGGTACAGCAGGAAGATTGTAATCTGGAGCAGTAGCAATGCTAACAGGCTGATCAACAATTGTAGCTCCCTGAGAAACGCAAGACAGTTTAATCAAGGTAAGAAAACAGATGAAACAAGAAAAAATCACTTGGTAATGAGACATAGAAATCAAGTTAACTATGCATTTTGAACACATCACGGCAATCATATTGAAGACATTCGAAACAAATGGATGAGAACTTTGTTTAACCTCTTCTATCTGAAGAATGAAACTCTGTTCTAAGTAATTTTCAAACCTTAGAGCCAATTTCATAACATAAGAGAGGTTCTACATTCCTGAAACAGTTTCTAATGGAAGCTTAAGTAAACAGTTTCTAATTCAGAATATCTTAAGTTTACGGACAATTGAAATGAAGAAAGGGAAGAATAGAGAATTGTATCAACCGAGAGTAGAATCGATGTCTCGGCTCCTTTCTGATCCTTGAAGGTAACAAATGCAATTTGAGATCGTTCATTGTCCCTGCAAGAAAACAAAATGAAGTAAATGAAAACGCATACGAACTAACAGTTGATCAAGAAGAAAAAAGTAACAATCCTACTGCTAATCACCATATACCTAACGAACTAAAATACAATTTCGAGACAGTAGTAAATAACACTTACTTTCGCATTTCGACAAATTCAATTTCACCGGAAAAAGAAAAAAAGTCTCTCAAATCTTTCTCCGACGCGCTCAACGAGACATTGGTAACTCTCACCGTTCTCACCTGCGACTGTAACGATTAAACAAAAAAACAACCTAAATCAAGTCAGTTTCTGGAAAATCAAAGACGAATTTAGACGTTTTAGGTGCTTTCAATAATTTCCTTATTTCTTGTTCGAAACATTAAATTCCAATACAGCCATAATTACAACGGAAGTACGCATTCTCCATCTCCTGAGTACGAGTCACGCATTTGTTCATCAAAATTACGGGAGGAAAAAACAATGAAACATGCTGTTTCACCTATATTAAGTAGTTAATAAGAAGAAAAAATCACGCCTCACAACAAAATGAAATTTGAGGTAATAACATCGCCAGAAATCAAAAAGATTAGGAACAAAATGAACAGAAAAAGAAGGAAAAATTGAACACCAACCGCCATGCTGCTCCGTCTGATCCACCGGAGAAGTTTCAAATCCAAGTTCTTCGAGAGAGAGAGAGAGAGAGAGACAGAGGAAGAATGACCTTGAGAGGTGCGTTGTGGCTTGGCGGTTGTTTAGGTTCGCAAATAATACAGATGGCAAAAGAAAGAAACTGACTCAGTCCTTTTTTTCTTTTCTTTTCCTTTTATTTTTTTAAGAAGTTTTCATTATATGGTTAAATGGGTAGCGTCACTGGGTATTAAATTTTCGCCCATATATTTTTATATAAAATTTGAATAAAAAGAGATTATAACTAAATTTTCCAATAAAATAATAAAATAAAAAGAGAGCTGGGGCTCTGCGCTCTTTCTTTTTGTGTCGGACGATGCCGGAGAGAGAAGGGATGCGTCAAGCAGGCGAACAGCAAACTCAGAATACTGGACCGATGTAGGGTAGGGTGGGCGGCATTTATAAATGATGAGTAGCAAGTTCATACGATTGCTACTACTAACGAGTTCAAATCCCATTTCTTAACTGACATCTCTTTCGATTACTTCCACAATCTCACCAATTAAATCCCATTTCTTCAGTTTCGCAGCTCACTTCATCGCTGTCTCTCCCCGGGTAATTCTTCTTTCTTTACACTTCCATTTCTTTATGATCAACAAACTTTCTTTCATTCTTTCGTTCTTGTCTGGTTTAGAATTTTGTTGTCGATTTATCTCTCTTTACTGTATGTTTGTTGATGCTACAATGATGGGGAAATCATCGGTAACAGATTATTAAGCCTATGCAGATGATTGTTAAGGCTGTTCTTCATCTTTCCCGAGATATTACCATTACAAATTTTTGTTCAAATATGAATGAAAAGACGAGTGGCAAACGTTCTTACCGAGATCCTGGATTGTTTTTGTTAATATCTTATTCGCGAATCTTGTTTAATCCTTGTGATACTTCCAGCTGGGGAATAAAGCAAAATCTATCGCTAAATGAAAATTGAAAACTATGGCTGGATTGTTCAACAAAATCATCTGTTTTGCTTGTTTTGGATTTGTTTTTCCCTTTAAAATTATCTTTTAATTTTCTAAACATTTTCTTCTATTTCTCATCATTATCTTTGTGTTTTTCTTTTTGCAGACCGATGACCATCAAGGTTGAGCTTCAAAAGGTATAGTGTTGGACTGCTCTAGGAATTGCTTGGCTTTGCTTTCATTATGTTCAACTGTCTTTATCATTTAGGTTTAAGATTCTATCAGAGTATAAGCAGAATTCTTGCTAGGATCCTGGGGAATTTTTGGGGCCTTTAAACAATATCTCAAAGATAGCATTGATGCCTAATATTTACAACGCTTTGATAGTTAAAGGTCAAGATACTTCCGGTCAAGAAATTAATGTGACTTGTGAAGTATAGCAATTATTAGGAAATAATCGGGTTAGAGTTGTAGCTATGAATGCTACTGATGGTCTAATGAGAGGATTGTAAGTGGTTAATACGAGAGCACCTCTAAGTGTTCCAGTCGGCGGAGCAGCTCTCGGCCGACTTTTCAATGTGCTTGGAGAGCCTATTGACAATTTGGGTTCTGTAGATACTCGCATAACATCTCCTATTCATAGATCCACCCTTGCTTTTATACCGTTAGATACAAAATTATATATTTTTAAAACAAAAATTAAAGTAGTAGATCTTTTAGCCCCTTATCGACTTGGAGGAAAAATAGGACTATTCGGAGGGGTTGGAGTGGGTAAAACAGTAGACCACCTAATTTGAATTTTTATGGACTTCAAATTTACTTTATTCAGAATCATTTCAAACTTGTATTGTGGCAATGTACATGAATCAGATTCTTATTTATATTTTTTTCAAGGCGTGTACAGATTGGAATTCTTGGGCTTCAGCTAATATGGATTTTCCTACACTTTATTGTTAGTTCATTCTACTTTGTGGTTAGTATTGCCACGACACTCGAAAGCTATTTGATCTCTTGTGGATTCCTACGCAAGTACAATCATCTGGATATCAACAGGGTCCAATATCTTGCCATTGTTGTTGAAAGTGATGAAGCTTATAATACCTTAAAAATTATTGAACTTCTGCAATGGTTAGAATCCATGGGAATTAGAAGTGTTTGTTTGTATGATGCTGAAGGTAATGATTTTGGGTCCATCCTAGAATTCTTCTCTCCCTTTTACTGTTGCCAAATTCTTATGAATGTCTTTCCAATGAATTATATGCTTATTTGAATGTATTTATGCTCAAGGGGTGCTTAAACAATCCAAGGAAATCATTTTGAAGAAAGTAAAGAATGCATCGGTATTTCAGGTACATGCAACTGTAATAAAGATTGATTTAAACCTATAGGTTCATTAAGTGATGATGTAACAGCCCAAGCCCACTACTAGCCGATATTGGCCTCTTTGGTTTTTCCCTTTTGAGCTTCCCCTCAAGGTTTTTAAAACGCATCTGCTAGGGAGAGATTTTCACACTCTTATAAAGAATGTTTCATTCTCCTCCCCAACCGATGTTAGGACCTTGAGGGGAAGCCCAGAAGGGAAAGTCCTTAAGAGTTGAATGTCAATAATAAGATGCATTATTCGTCTAACTTGGTCGTTTCATTCAGGAGACCAACGAACCTCTCCAACTAAACTGTAAGGGCTTTACTCTGGAGTTCATTTCAGCGTCGGATGGAAAGGAAGCCGTGGCCAGAGCAGCTAGTTTTCTTCTCAAAGACAAGTGGAGAAAAACCAACATGAGTGGAGATTCCAATCAGTGCTTTTCAGAATCACAGATGACTGAGGCTCTAAAAGCAGTTGGTTTGTATTCCTGCTTATACTTGGAAAGTTTCAGGGTATTATTTACTTAAATGTAAATTAACCTTCCGGGTACTCTGTCATTAGGATGTGGAGGGCCTGATCCTGACCTCATTTTAGTATATGGACCTTCAAGATGTCACTTAGGGTTTCCTGCTTGGAGAATCCGCTACACAGAGATTCTGTGAGTCTTTTGTTTATTATATTTTTTTGATTATAATCACATTTTTTATTGGTATGGATGCTCTAAGTGTACAAACACCCAAGCATCCTCCATATCCATGCTTTAAAGTGTAACAGCCCAAGCCCACCGCTAATAAATATTGTCCGCTTTAGCCCGTTACGTATAGTCGTCTGCCTCATGTTTTAAAACATGTCTACTAGGTAGAGGTACCTTTATAAGGAATGTTTCGTTCCCCTCTCCAACCAATGTGGGATCTCACAAAAAGAGAAATCTCCTTTCTTTCTATCAACAGCTTGTAACTAAGGGTAGGGACTGATGCAACCCCAACTTCTTTGTGCTCTTCACTAGGAAGTGTCCACAAAGGAATTGAATTAGAATGGCCATCATGCTTCATAAGATTCCAATAAAGACAAACCATGTATGCCTTAAGAAATGCCTCTCAGCTTTGAACTCCTGCAGCAATGGAATGTTAGGTTGGAAGTCCCTCAAAAAGCTCTCAACTCCACCCATTTTCCTTAAAGCCCTTAGCTTGCCAACCATGCTACCTTGGAGAGGATATAAAGCTAAGCACTTTAATATAAGAATGGAAACTTATATTCACAAGCTTTTTCGATATATGAACAGCTTCAACACCACCGTTACTCTTAATCATAGACAGACTTGCACTGACCTCAATAGACATCAAAGGATGAACCTGGTCTGTATATTTGGGACTTCTGGCAGCTACTTCTCAAATCCCTCTACAAATGAGTTCTTTCTTTATTACTCCAACACATCCTATGCTAGGAGTAGAATACGACTCCACTGTATGATCATTCTGTGCTTTGGTTCTTCTCATTCCTCCAGTAGTAGAATAAATACTTTCTTCCAATAGAGTAATGTTGTTTGTTATATTGAACACTTTTTGTTATTGTATGAGTGATATACTTACAGAAGATAAACTTTGATTTTTCCTTTAGTGGTCTAGTAAGCTTATTATGATGCTGTGTGGAATCTTCACTTCTGAAATAATTAATTTATGCATCTAAAACAACACAAAATTATGTATGCTTATTTCAACTTCACCAAAAAAAAAAATCCACACATTTTAGTAATCATTTTTGGGGTTGAAGAGATTATACGATCTTTGATTTATATTTTGTTGCAGACACATGGGACCATTAAAGTCCAAGAAGTATGGTTCCCTGGTAAAAGCCATTTACAAGTTTACCATGGTTCGGCAAAACTACGGTGAGTTACTTGCTATTGCCTTAATAAGTTCTAGCGAAGTTTGTATATATTTTGATATACTAAATGGTGAAAATGATCTTACAACTAAATTCCATTTTGATCTTGTGCATTATTCTTTAGCATCTTTCATATTTTCCTCTACGTGGTTTGAGGCTTTATCTGGAAATTTAAGTCCTGGTTCAATTTGGTTGGCAAATATGTTTTGGAATCTTGGAAGTGCTATTCTAAATCATGTGAGACCTGATAGCAGAAGTAGCCTTTCAATTCTAAACTTTTACTATTTTAGATATCAGCTTCTGACTCGTATTGGAATTTTTGAAAGTCATTTGGTTAGCATAGCCATTGTGTAAACAAGGTTCTTACGCTTGGGTCTTGAATTTTAGAAGTGCTCGCTTCAACTCAAATTCCAAAATTTTCTGTAACGATCTAAGCCCACCACTAGCAGATATTGTCCTCTTTGGACTTTTTAATTCAAGGTTTTTAAAACTCTCTGTTAAAAAAAGGTTTCCATACTCTTATAAAGAATGTTTTGTTTTCTCCCCAACCGATATGAGACCCCCAATCCATCCCCCCTTCAGAGTCCAGCGTCCTTGTTGGCACACCGCCTCGTGTCCACCCCCCTTCGGGGTTCAACCTCATTGCTGACACATCACTCGATGTCTGACTTTGATATCATTTCTAACAGCGCAGGCCCACTACTAGCAGAGATATTGTCTTCTATGGACTTTCCCTTTCAAGCTTCCCCTCAAGATTTTTAAAACACGTTTTCTAGGGAGAGGTTTCCACACTCCTATTGTTTCTTAATACCATAATCACTTGAATTGTTCTGAAATTGTGATCTTTCTCTTGTTTTTTTATACATCTGTTTCAATAGGTAAATGAACTGAAGCATTAAGAGACTCTCCAGTAATGGAAGGCCAATGAAGGAGAAGATGAAGAAGATTTAGTAAGTTTTGAACAGTCATGGATTTAGTTTTATGAAACTTCAATCTGAGGGTTTTATCATTTCATTACTCTTTCAATTACTGTAAATTATTCATAAATAATATAGGCAATTATAATAATATGCTCTTTAAATAAATAATTAATTAATCTCTTATTTTAGCTCTATAATCTTTTCCCTTCAAAATTATCTAAAAATGTACAAATATCTGAGATATTTAATTACAATGTGTAGCAGGCTTCAATTGTTCTAAGTTTGTTTACTTTCAATTCTTTGAAATTTATATGCCACTTTTTTTAAAATATTTGAATTTATTTTTATATTTCTTTAAATCATTATTATTATTTTTTTCAAATGATTAATATTATTAATCATTTATTGATTTATTATTATGATCCCACTTGAAACTAGTTTCTATAAAATAATAGATTATTATTCCTTCTAATTTTAGAATTAATTTCTAAGGAGTGTGTTTGGTGATTTTTTTTTTATAATTCAAAATTTTAGTTAATATTTATGAGCTTAATTTTTAAAAAATTAATTATTATCAAATAGGGTTATTTTAAATTTTATTTTATTTTGGAAACCTTGTTAGAATTTAAATACGAGCATAATTTTATTTTATAAAAAAACAAAGTATCGGTTGAGAGCTTCGGCCATAGAGACCAAATTCATAAAACCCGGTGACAGAAAACCCAACCGAATTTTAATAGCAAATTAAAAAGGGAAAAAATATAAAACAAGACGCCGTTGCCGGGGATCGAACCCGGGTCACCCGCGTGACAGGCGGGAATACTTACCACTATACTACAACGACGGTTGACAGAAAAAATTTAATAATTATTTGAAACCTTTAATTCCTGAGAGAGAATTTTGGAATTTCAAATAGCAAATTACAAAATATATATATTTAAAACAAGTAATTTCTTATCGTTTTAATAAAAATAAAATAATATTGTGATAAGTATTTATGCCTATGACAGGACTTTAATATATATATATATATTATTTCTTTTTGAAATTTGGTTGATTTTTCTAATCCAATCCGTTACTATGAGTTTTGTTTAAAACGCTCAACCGAATTAATGTTATAGAACATTCAAAATCTAAACCAAAATTTGTAAAAAAAAAAAAAAAAAAAAAAAAAAAACTTGTTTTTCTTTTAAAAAATTGGAAGAGAATTAAGATGCTACAAAAAAAAAAAATATTTTTCAAAAATATGTACAAATCAATTATAATAAAAAGATTATGTACTCTTAATAATTACTTATTATTATTAAACTGGATTTTTGAATTAAAATCTATTGTTGTAATAATTTGAATTAATTAAAACAAATTAACTTAAATAATAAATTTTTAAATGAGTTTTTTTTTTTTTTATTATTATTATTATTAGTTTGCATTTCTTACTAATACATCAAATTTTTTTGAAAGGAGTGTCCAAACTCCGAGTAAGATCGTTATTATTGAAACTAGATAGCACAAAAGCAATATTCAATTATTTACAATTAAAAGTGTTTGAAATATAATAGATATAATTAATCATTTTATTTTATTATTGTACTAAATTGATATATAAACTAAAAGAAAATTAAAATTTAAAACATGTTATTTAATAAAATTTATTTGATTAACATTATTTAATAAAGTAAACTAATAATAAATTATCTACCATGAACTACCTAAAATCAAACCCGGTAAATTAATAAAAATACTCTTAAAATTTATTTAGGTAAAAAATACTTTAAATAAACAAATTAAAAAAACACTTACTCTTAAAAATTATTATATTTTATTTAAAAAATACAATTAAGCTTTTAAAAATGATAAACTAATTTTCATTAATACCATTAAATTTTAAAAAAAAGTTAAAATAATTAGTAACCTTAAAGACTTTATTTATTTATTTTTAAGTTATATTAATTTTCTATTTTTGAAACGTAAGTGTTTTTGAATTTTTAAAAAAGTTTTATTTAAAAAGATTAAAGAATATTTTTAAACACTTTTTATAATTCAATAATATTTTTTAAACAAAATATATACGTTTCTATAAAAAGATACGAGTATTTTTAAAAAAATTTAAAAATTAATATATATATATATATATATTCTTAATTTGAATTATTATAATATTTTTAGACAAATTGCAAATATAGCAGTTTTTTTTTTTATTAATTTAACTTTATATGAAATTTTGATAATATATATATATATATATTCTAAAACATTTTATTCTCGAATTATTTTAAATAAATCCTCCGACAAACTAATCTATATTCTCATTATCGGTTGAACAAGATGAAATGGGCGCGTTGAAAGTCATCCAATTGACCACAATGTTGAAGCCGTCTCTCTTCGCGACTGAGAGCTTCATCAATTCCTCTCCGGTAAGTTACTTTTCATTGATTCCGATGAAAGCGCGAGGGAATTCTTGACGATCATGCTTTCTTTTTCGATTTGCACAGGAATAATTGCATAGCGTTTGAGGCTGATGTTTATAAATGGAAAGTGAATTTGTAGGTCAGCTTTTGCGAGCGTATAGATTCTTTGCTGGGGATTGAAATCTTCTGCAATGTTAAAACCTAAAGCCATTGATTGTCCAAGTATATGTTATCGACCAATCAAACCCTCAGACCGTGAAGTTTTGGAGCAAATCCATGGTAACTTGTTTCCCATCAGGTATGTGAATCCGATTGAGCGTGATGTTCATTTTGATTTCATGATATGCTAGTAAGATCGGCTTATGATTACGAATTTCTTAGGTATGAGTCGGAGTTTTTCCATAATGTTGTAAATGGACGTGAAATTGTGTCCTGGGCGGCGGTGGATCGTAATAGACCAGATGGCAGAAGTGATGAGCTTATTGGATTTGTGACTGCGCGAATTGTTCTAGCAAAAGATAGTGAGGTGGGTTATGCTTATGTTTTGTATATTTCTAGTCTGAGTCTCAACCTTTATACATCAACTGTTTCCCTTGGGTTTCTGGATTAGAACGGGATTTCTTTTAGTTCATAGTTTTTGTACTGATTTTCATCTAAACATCTTGACTCTCCAGGTGTGATTGTACAGTTCTTTTAATCCATCATACTGGTTGGAAAATAATGTTTTCATGATGGCATATTTAATGAAATCTTTATCTTGTTTAAAGAAAAAGCTTCATTTATTTTCTCAGATTTCCAAGTCCTTGGATCTAATGTCTTCATTGTTGAAGAACCGACTGAATGAGATCTTCAAATCTTAGTGTTACCTTGTGTCAATTTCTAATATGAAATATTGTACGTAAGTGCAAGCGATTAGGACTTTAAATTCATTGGTACAAACACGTGGTTGGTTGTCTTTGAGAGGTTCCACAACTTTGAGAACGTATTTTGGTTGTAAGTGAACAAACATATTCGTTTGCAGTCTGGTCTTTCATCCATTTCTGGGAAGAGTAATAGAGTTCATGGACTGTTTTAAAAAATGTTGAGAAATTAAAGTGGTTGATTAAATTAGTGGCCTCGAAATCATGGATGCTATAGCTTGCTGAGCTCAACTGTAATTAGCTGCCATTGATATGATTAAACACAGATAAAGTGTTTCGAAATGCAGAAATTGCCATGTGATGATTAGCTTCAGGTGTACTTGGTGAATAATTCTTGTTAACAGTTGTGCCAGGGTTACCATTAAGTAGTTGTAAATACTTTCAAGCCAGCATTAAGTAGTTGTAGAATTGGCTTAACACTAATCTATTGACAATGTTTTTTTAGCTACTCTGACAGCTGAAATCACTTGTCTTGGTTGCTCAAAACTGGATATCTATAATTTATACCTCTTAAATGCCTTGTAGATATGTGATTTACTTCAGCATAATTCATCAAGCACGGATCAAACTCTAGTATACATTCTTACACTGGGGGTAGTGGAAGCCTACAGAAACCTTGGAATAGGTACAAGCTTGTTATAGCGTATATCTGATTTTTTTTTTACATTAATTACATGTCTACTAATCATCCGGAATTTGGTGTATTGAATTGCAGCTAGTTCACTTGTTCGAAAGGTAGTTAAATATGCCTCAGGCATGCCAACCTGCCGAGCAGTTTATTTGCATGTAATTTCATACAATAGTACTGCTATCAATTTCTACACTAAAATGTCATTCAAGTGCCTACAAAGACTGCCGAGCTTTTACTTTATCAATGGCCGGCGTTATGATTCATACCTGTTCGTCTACTATGTGAATGGCGGTCGATCTCCATGCTCTCTGTTGTAAGTATCAATATCAACTACCTTTCAATCCGTAAGGCTTTTATTACTCGGTTCTTTTACATTGTCGCATGCCTTTTTGAATATGGCATCCTACTTAATTGGGACCTATAGTTCTCTTTGCCTCTTATAGCAACCAAGACCTTGTGATATCCCACATTGGTGGGAGAGGGGAACGAAACATTCCTTATAAGGGTGTGGAAACTTTTCCCTAGTAGACACGTTTTAAAACTTTGAGAGAGACCAAAATGGAAAGTTCAAAGAGGACAATATCGGCTAGCGATGGGTTTGGACTTAGGCTGTAATAGACCTCAACAACAATCTGTTGACTTTTAAAAAAGACCTGAAACATGCTAACTGTAGAGGAAACAACTTATCTCGACCTGTTTCCTAAATTTTGGAATCTTATTCAAACTGATTACCTGACTGACAAATCTGAAGTTCATGTAAGCATGGAAACTTTTGGGTAGTTGGAAAGGAGGGAATAACTGGATGAAGAACATGTTGGAGTGTAGAGAAAAGATAGAAGGGGGAAAAATGACGAAAGGGACAGAATCAGGTGAAAGAAAATCAATTACATCAGAAACTGGACAATAAAGAGGAGATTTAAGAGAGGGAGTGCTAGAAAGACCTGGAATCTCTTGTTTTATTATCATTCTAATGTTTCAGTATCTGAAATCTCTGAAAAATGTATGTTTCAGTTTATTTTATGTGGATACCTACCGTGTTCTGAACTGATAAGTCTGCATAGGATAGAGATCTTCTGAACCTTCAAGCTTAGGTTTGTTATTTTTTAATCGGTATTTTCGTGTACGTGCAGAGAGATAGTCAGTTTCATGGTGAGTTATATAAGGGATGGTATCAAGTGTGTAAGTTCAAGGTTGAGGAAGAATGAAAAAAGGAAGGTGTCGAAATGGCCCAAATGTAAAGAATCTCATAGCCTTATATCCATGGCGCCGAGCAAGGGGAATGTGGCAGTTGATAGCAGTGGATATGAATGTGTTTGACTTGATTCTGATGTTTAAACCGTATATGATAATTTGATGATGATATGATGATATGATTGATGATATTCTATCCTCGATGTAATGAGCTTTGGTGGTGTTTTAATGAAAGTTAGGGTTTTGTATTCTTAATTCTTAGAGCCTTCTGTGACAATCTGCTGAGTTCATCATTGAAAGAATTCCTTGTTGAATCCTTTGAAGATTGAACAGTTCCTTGTTGAATCCTTCGAAGATTGAACATGCCTCTAAACTTTTGCACTAAGAAAATGTCTTTAATTATAAAACTTCCCTATTCCTCCCTCAATCGAAGTATATATATGTTATAACAAGAAGTACAGACGAACCAAGGGACCGGTCATATCATAGTTGTACGATAATAGTTCAAGATGTCGTTTGGGTTTAATACACAAAAGAGAGACGTAGAATTTGAGTCATAATTTTGAGGACAAAATATCGTTTGGTTCCTCTTGATAAAAAAAATAATATTCGCATCCAGTGATTTTATTTTGAAATTTTGTAATTTTTTTATTTAAACTTAAGTTTGAAGTCATATTTGTCGAGAGATTTTATAGAAAAAGTGAGCATATTGATATGAGTTGTTTTTAATGGTTCCTTGGTGTGACTATTTGGGTGTGAAATTTTTTATGTTTTTGTTTGGGCATGCACCGAAACGATAAACCTACTTTTGTTCTTAAGAGGAGAAACGGAGAAAGTGATTAAATAATAAAAAAAATGGATTAAGAAGCTACCGAAGAAGCGACTACACCTTCGAGGAACTCTTATATAGACAACAACGTGATAGACAATGGTGATACACAAAAGTGACGTTACGACGATGGAACTAAAAACAAAAAGAAACGATAAAATCAACTTAAACGAATGGCCAAAACTAAATCAAAATAGAGATCATAAGAGAAGCTCACTAACCGACATCAATCTATAAACGAGGTGACTTAAGAAAATAAGTGACATGATACTGAAATACGCAAGGACAAAAAGGTAAATCAATTGACAACTTGATAAAGACAGATGCGTCGAAATACAACCTCACGATGAAGCCTAATGCAACGTATACATTTGCACGACAAAACTGAAATTGTGCGTTGAGCACGAAGTTGGAGACAAAATAGACGTACAAAATGTTAGCACATGATACAAGTTGTCAAATTCTATACAGATGCAACGAGTCGTCAAATTCTTACTGTTAGGGTTATTCACTATAATCGGCTATTAGTGCCATCGTGAGTCTAGGGTTCCAATATTTTCCTTTACTGTTAGGGTTATTCACTATAACCGGCTATTAGTGCCATCCATTTCCCCTTACTGTTAGGGTTATTCACTATAACCGACTATTAGTGCCATCGTGAGTCTAGGGTTCCAATATTTCCCCTTACTGTTAGGGTTATTCACTATAACCGGCTATTAGTGCCATCGTGAGTCTAGGGTTCCAATATTTTCCCTTACTGTTAGGGTTATTCACTATAACCGGCTATTAGTGCCATCCTGAGTCTAGGGTTCCAATATTTCCCCTATCGATTTCTCCGTTCACAGTTGAATTTCGCTTTCCATGATCTTCCATTGTCAGTGTTTCTGTAGAAAGAATAATTTCTGCCTAACTGCTACTCCGTTTCACACTCAACGTCGGTTCTCCATTTCAATTTCCCGACAATCATATTTCCATTGAATTTGTAGGTTTTCAATCTTCTTTATTTGTGTTTCAGGATCGGAGTGAAAAGTAGATTGTGATGGCGCTAAGAGGGAGAAAAGTCTCTGCTCGAGGGGAATCAATGGCGGCAAATTATGCTTTTGGACCTCTCGAAGATGATGTTATCATAAAACACAGGCTTCTCACCCGGACAACGACCACCAGGGGGGAACCTCCATTGAAGAAGCTACAGAAGAAGTTCACTTCCTTTGTTCTTGAGATTGAAAAGGATGGGAATAACTACGATGACTGCGAGAAGCTATCCAGAGCTTTCTTACAAGAGCTGTCCACATTTGAAATTCCTTTGCTCAAGAGTAAAGCAGTTGTCGATGCGAACATTAGGGAAAAAGAGAGCTTCCATGAGTTTAAGGATGAGATAAACAGGCAAATTTTGTTATCTCAGGGTGATATTGAAGATCTTAAGAAGCAGCTTGAAGAAAGCAAAATTGAGAGGAAACACAAGGAGGAGTGTGAGGCAATTAGGAAGCTTATAGCAGCCCAGCCGCCCAGGTCTGTGACACAAAAGAGTATTATGGAGTTAGAGAAGGAGATTGCGGCACTTAATGCGGAGAACACAGCTAGTTCTAGGATGCTGGAGCTTCGCAAGAAACAATTTGCCCTTCTGTTGCACGTGGTATGTTTCCATCATCAATGTTATTATAGCTATATTTGGGTCTTTTCATTTGAATTCATTAGTTTAGACTTTGGTTCTCCTTCACCACCATTTTTTCACTATTGTGTTGCCTTGAGATTCTTGAATAGATTGGTATGTTGAGGATTGTTGGGAGGGAGTCCTACATGGGTTAAGTTAGGGAATGATCATGAGTTTATAAGGAATACATCTCCATTGGTATGAGGCCTTTTTGGGGAAGCCCAAAGTAAAGCCATGCGAGTTTATGTTCAAAGTGGACAATATCATACCATTGTGAAGGTTCGTGATTCCTAACATGCTACACGAAGAAGATTAAGATGTCTAATACTATCAGTGCTGGAACCCACAAACTTTGGCTCATTTAAGGAAGGATGAGAATGATCCCATTAATTGTTTGCTAGTTTACCTTTGGTGATGGGACGACAGGAAAAAATGATTTGGCTGTTATTCTTAGTGTTCAATTTCCAACAGCTAGGATTCTTTTATTTGGTTGGGAATCTCTGCCAGCATAATGTGATGATGTTTAAATCTAAAAGCAACCAAAGTTGAAAATTTTGTTTTAGTATTAGAAATGAATTCAAGTTATGACCTTCATTATAGTATTTGAAAACCTCTGACCTCTCTTGTCTATGAAGTTTAAATATATGGAACATTTGGTAGCTAGGAAACATGTGCAATGTCTGATATCCTGCATAGGGCGTACTAAGGAATTTTTAACTTAGTATCTTTTTATTTTTCACGATCTTTCTTGGTTTGTTAGAGTTGAAACAGGGGAATACTTTTCTTTCTTTCTTTCATCAATCAAAATGTTCTATTGAGAAGGTGAAATTTATAAAGAAAGAAGCCCCAGAAGTTAGCATAGTTGCTAAATATTTTGAAGAATGCCCCCTCACATGAACTAAGCTTTTGGTTGTAGTTGATGAACTGCCTTTCCAACTCCAAATGATTGACTAGGCTTAGTCATTTAGAGCAGATCACTTAGGAAGTGATAGTTTCTTCCTTCTGCTGCGGACTCAAAGACAAAAAGTTGAAACTTTATCCTCCTTCGTTAAGTCACTCAAGTTTCCATTTGATCTAAAATAAATTTCCTCCAAAGAATGACTTGACCACCTTGTTACCATCAGCATCCTTCAATGATGCATCCAAGGATGAAAAATAATCCTTATTAGTGAGCCACGTATTTCTTTCCTTAGCCTCTTTGCACAGGAGAAAGGCGAATTACCTCCTCCTTGCCATCCAACATATGAATACAAAGAATAAGGTATCCTTTTAAGCTGCAATATTGCCAAATATCACAACTTCACTTAGAGAAAGTAGGTTGTGATCCCCACACGCAAGACAGTCAAGGGGTGACCCTCAAGTGGCGCCCATCCGACCACATGAGGATCAAGCTTGAGAAGTGCCATGATGCACAGGCAACATGAGTGTCGAAGACAAGCTCGAAAAGGGTCAAGTAGGGCTTCGGGAAAGAACCTCAAAAGTTGGGGTTTCAATATGAGTTTCGACATGCGTTTTTGGAGTTAATTCAGTTTATATGAAAGATGAAAACTCACCAAATTTTGTGTCGATCGGATACTCGACAGACAATGCACGAGGCCATATGACCACTCGCCAAAATGACATCTACTCGAGAAAGGTTGGAAATGCCTTAAAATGTACTATATGGGGAGGAGTGGTGTCAGCTCTCTTCCACCTCTAAGCCTTGTGGCCTAAGTGAGCTACCTCGTGGCACATGTGTGTCAAAGTGAGGTCAAGTGTTGCGAGACGAGTGTCTCGAGCATCTTTCTTTGAAATGGGTTTTTTCAAGTACAGTATTGGACGGCATGGGTGTGCCAGTATTGCGCTCCAGCCCATGTGTCGGAGGTTGGATTATGCACCCACTATCCAGAACGGATGCCGTAAATGGTTTAGCATGGACAGGGGAGAGTCCAATGCTCGATGAGAACCCAGATGGATGGATGTTTGAGATGTTCTGATGAGATGATCTGGGTCAGTTCCCAACAGATGTGTCCAAGCAAGTCAAGATGGCCGAGCTGCCCTAAGGCATGGAATGACATCACGATGCATGGGGTCATGTTGTTGGGAGTCGAGATGACGATGAGATGCGACATTGTTTAAGAGAGATCCTGGCCCAGATGCAAGGTCGAGCTGGATGACTTGGCTCAATGTAGAGGCAAGTCAACTAGAGTCGTAAACGATTGAACATGCACGCACGATCGGCGTGTGTGGCTGAACAAGCTTGGATTCCTCGTAGGTTATGTTCGGTTGGCGAAGGCAAACCTCACCTAAGGTCCAACAAAGCCACAAAGCCAGGCAAAAAATGTGAATGGGGCGCAAGTTCCCCCTTGAGACTTGTCGTGGCCGCACGGTTGATGTGTTAGGAATCACGGATCTCCACAATGGTATGATATTGTCCACTTTGAGCATAAACTCTCATGGTTTTGTTTTTAGTTTCCCCAAAAGGCCTCATACCAATGGAAAAAATGTTCCTTACTTATAAACTCATAATTTTCCTCTTAGTTAACCAATCTAGGAATACTGCTTTCCATAATCCTCAACCTGAAGAAGTACCATATTGACACCAAGCACCTCAATACTCCTACTTGTAGTTTTTCTTTGAGAAAGAACATGGAAGCATTACTTCATCACCTGACACCATCAGCATCCCTCAATCCATTGGAAGAAAATTCTTATGAGTGAGCTCATATTTGGAAGGAGGGCAACCATTGAGATCGCTGACCTCTCAAGGTGATACGAGAAGGTAATTGGAAGGGGTCTATCGAGGCATTTTTTTTCCATTTCAGGAAAAAAAAAACGTGGGTTATCAAGGCTTCTAAATCTGGTGTTGTAAAATTTTTTAGTCCACTCCTATGGAAGTTAACAAAGAAAGTACTGCCCTCTCCCTCAGATTGGTGCAAGTCAGTTTACCACTAGAGAAAGTTCAATCAAAGAGAGATCATAAATCAGCCTATTTAAGTGGATCGTAATTCTGGTTAGGTAGAAGAGGAACACCTAGAAGATTTCTCTAATGGCCACCAGCTGCATAGCCTGCATCATGATTCTTTTTTTTTCACCCTAGCATTTGAGCAAAGAACAAAGAGAGCTTCCCAGTCGGGCCAAAAACCTAAAAAAACCTTGTAGTAGGAGGTCCATAAATCCAAAATTCTAGAAAGAAATACCACACATGTTTGAACTTCCGACTGCAGATTTTCATTAAGTGTTTGTCTACCATTGAGGTCCTGAACCCCTTGAAGTGCATCTATTTGAGTGTTATATCTGCAGCCAATTTGAAATAGATCTAATGGTCATCTGTTCCACTGTTAGCCATTCTAGAATGTATTAATCGTTCCTTCGTAGGGTTAAAACGAACTGTTGCTGCATTTGGACCCAAGGGCTTCACATGATGGAATATTACATGAAGATTTCTGGAACATTCATCCAACAAGGGACTGTCAGGAAATTAGAAATTACCAACTAAAAAGAAAATTCACCCTGCAGCTCCTGGACTTGGGAAAAAGAGTTGGTTTTTCAATTATTTGTTTTGGAGGAAAAGAGAAGCATAGTGCTTGGGTGCTTTCCAGGGCAATGTCTGTTTGTGTTTCTAACTTTCTTTTTCAGGAAATGACTTCTATCATGACATATTTATAGTTCGGATATTAACATTACGAGGATTCACATTGTTTGTAATAGCCTAGCCCACTGCTAGTAGATATTGTCCATTTCGGAACCCTTTCGGACTTTCTCTCAAGGATTTTTAAAACATGTCGGCTAGGGAGAGGTTTCCAGACACTTGTAAAGAATAAAGAATGATTTGTTCTCTTCCCCAACCGATGTGGGATCTCGCAAATTTTCCCTTTTCTTTTCCAATAATTGTGTGTGCGCGTGTACTTTTTCATTATTTTATCTTTAGAATTGTTGTCACACAACTGAACATTGTGGCTAAATAATTGTTGTCTGGCTTTGATTGTTCACAAACTTTGTAGCTGATGCTTGAAATGCTCAACTATATCGGTGCAGGTGGATGAGTTGCAAAATACCATAGAGGATGAACAGAAGAGTTTAATGGAGGAAATAAGAATCACAAGTGAGGAGAATAAGATCGGTGTAGACGAGGCTAGTGGAGAAGCCATGGCTGTCGACTGAGACCATTCTGCAAAACTTGTATGCTTATTTTTTTTTACACCTCAATATCAAAGCTATTATGTTCTCTGGAAATCTTATTCAAGTTGAGAAATGAAATTGCAAATGGAGTTGGATATTATCCTCTTAGGCCAAATCAAATCAAGTAGAACCTTGTTCTTTTCTTAGGCATTATAAGTGAAAGACATGCCCATCACTAGCAAGGTCTAAGTCTATTGCTAGTAGATATTGTCCTCTTTTGGCTTTACCTTTTAGGCTTGTCCTTGAAGTTTTTAAAATGCGCCTATTAGGGAGAGATTTCCACACTCTTATAAAGAGTGCTTCATTCTCCTTTTCAATTAATGTGGGATCTCACAATCCACTCCCCTTTAAGGTCGAGCGTCTTTGTTGGCATTCATTCCCTTCTCCAATCAATGTGGAATTTCCAATTCACTCCCTTCGGGACCCAGTGTCCTTGCTGGCACATCGTCTCGTGTCCACTCCCCCCTTTAGGGCTTAGCCTCTTCGTTAGCACATCGCTCAATGGCAGACTCTGATACTATTTGCATTTTGGACCATATGTAGGATTATATGCATTTAGTTGTACTCTTTTTCCAAGTAGGAAGTTTGCTTGTGTAACAATCCAAGCCCATCGCTAGCAGGTTGTAATAACCTAAGCCCACCGCTCACAAATATTGTCTTCCTTGGGTATTTTGTTTTGGGCTTTCCCTCAAAGTTTTTAAAACGCATCTACTAGAGAATGCTTCGTTCTCCTCCCCAGTCGATTTGGAATCTCAAACATGTATTGTCCGCTTTGACCTATTACATATCATCGTCAACCTCACAGTTTTAAAACGTATTTGTTAAGGAGATGTTTTTACACCTTTATAAGAAATATTTCGTTCTTCCATAGGATCTCATAATCCGCTCCGCCACCATGTGAGATCTAATAGCTTGAGAACAGCTTGAGATTCTCAATGAGTAAACATGGTAGAGAAATCCTCTTTCAAATTTTATATTTAATTTATTTGATTTTGTAGGGAAAAATATATATATATATATATATGTTTGTAATTTTTATTATGAAACTAATATAATAATTTATTTAATTTTTGATAGATTTATTTTGATAAATAGATTAAGTTTAATTAATTATATAATCCAATTAATGTACTAAAATATAATTTAATTAGTTTAAGAATAATTAAATAACTAATTATGATTATTAAATTCAATTAATTAAATAATAGAATATAATTAATTAATATTTTCAAGAATATATTTAGATCTATTAACTTATATTTTTCCTATCAGAGTACTTTAATTTAATACATTATTATCATTTTAAATTTATATAATCAGAAATTATAAATATAATTTAACCATTTTAAGAATTATTAATATGTCAAATAAAATAATATATTATAAACAATAAAAAATGAAAAAAAATATTTAGAAAATCTTTACTTTTACAATGGCATCAAATATCTTATACATTATACATTGATACAAATAAAGCAAGAAAATAACTTATTCTCATGTCTCATCTTTCAACTCGTATACCAAATAACGAATAATATATTCGTCTTTGATTCTTATCTTTATTCTTATGCGTTTAATCGAAACAGATAAGGTATTAAAAGGACGGTTTTGTGGGACTCGTCCTACAAATTTTTTTTTATTCCATTAACAAAATAGCTATAACACCACGATAAAGCATTCCTTCCAATTTGAGGGTCAAAATAAATTTAATAGAAATTTTAAAAATATAAAATGAGACAAAAATAAATTATAATTAAAAAAAAACAAAAGTTAAATTACAAGTTTAATTAATAATTTTTAAGTTTGTATGTTTGTATTTAAGAATTCAAAAAGTATCTAATTAGTCATTGCTCTCAACTTTTACTTTCGTGTTTAATTTTTTTTTTTTTTGACAAATTTAAATTTTAGAAAATTAGTTGTTATATTGATATAAAATTAAATTTTATATTGAATGAAACTAATAATGTGTATAATAAATTTTTAAATTTTCTAAAAAAAATCACAAAATTAAAAATTTACAAACAAATAAAACATTTTTATTGTTTAAAAATCAAACATAAAATTAAAAAAAAAAAAACTAAATTTGTAATTTAATAATAAAATATTAAAAGATAAATAAATATTTTGAGAAAATGAGGACAAATTATATATTAATAGTGTTGGATTGGAATTATAACAAATTATTAATAATGGAAGGGAGTGGGACAAGAAATTGGAATCAAAGACTAAAAAACATTGTTTTTTTGTTTTTTTATTTAAATAATAAAAAAAGAATCTTTTATAAATAGAAATTTCAGTACAATTGGGTCCCACGTACTAAAGATTCCTTCTCTCTGAAGTCTAAACCAATTACTGACATTGACCCAACTGCTATTTCAGTTTTTGGAATTTGTCCTACAATTTTTTACTTTTTACTTTTACCACACTCTTTCACTACTTTTTATATATATATATATATATATATATATATATATATATATATATATATATATATATATATATTTTGTTAAGGATATTTAGTAATAAATTATTGTTTACCATATATATTATATTTGATATTTTATTATAAGGCAAATATTAGATATTTGCCTTATTATCGTATCTTTCTATTTATTTTATTTCCATTTATTACTATTTTCATATCTTTGTAATTCATTTGATTATAAATAAGATAACTTTCACACCATTTAGGTGTGGTGGATTAATCAAACATTCACATATATATATATATATATATTTATGCGAAGAAAGTAGACTGCAATGAAAAGAAATCTCACTCACGAGAACTCAAACGACAAGTAAAGGCTTGAATGTGATTTGAATATGGTAGAAGACTTTTCACTCTCACCATCACCAAAGGTAAGTGGAACTCGTGTACACTACAATACTACTAGTTCTTATATCGAGAAGAATGACATACTCATATTTTTTTCCAATGATCGTGATTATTAAATCGAATGGATGTCATTTTTTTTTTTTAAATTTGGTTGAATTATAATTATAATTTAATTAAAGATCGAATGAAAACATAATTGGAATTTAAATAACATGTATCCTATTTAAAAAAAATCATATTATATAATTAATTAATTAATTAATTTGTTGATGTGAATTTATTTATTATAGAAAACCACCCAATTGCTTTTAAATTTAGAATAAAAATGAATTATTTAATAGTGAAAATAAAAAAAAATGAAAAACATTTATTTGATCTTAGATAAAACGATTAAATAGAAAAATATTAATAATGAATATGATAATTTTTTGTTTACTGGAGAAAAAAATAAGAAAAATTTTATGATAATATCTTTTAATTTTCGCTAGATACATTTAATTTTATCAATATATAAATAAGTATATAGCATCAATTAAGAGGTCATTTTTATACTGAATTTTTTTAAAAAATATCTCCATAAATTCATCAATTATTAAAAAGTTTAAACCTCTTCTATTATTATTATTATTATTATTATTATTTTATAAAATTATTTTATTTTAATATTAGAATAGGGTTAATGAAGATAATGGGTAGATGGACATTTACGGAAATATCCCTAGATTAAAGCATAGGTATTGGGTTGGTGAGAGATTTCATTTTATTTTTTTATTTATCCTAAGATAATTGCATCAATTTTTAGCTATAAATTCATTTATTATGATAAAAAATTCTATATTGATGAATGTTTGCATTTACTTATTTATTATTTATTTTTTTTGTAGACTCATATTTTATTCCGAACAAGTTTGGATTCTTTCTGGGTAGGTGTTGGAGTAACGATTTAGCTTGTTTCGTCCCATATAACACATAAATGATGACCTCAACCGTTGTCAAGTTTTTCGTAGTTGAGTTCTTCATTGTTGAGATTTGTGCGGTGGGTAAGTATCAATTTCATGTATTCGTGCAATATTTCAAGTGAAATGAGTATCATTTTCTCTCCACAAGCTATTGTTAGAAACAACTACACCAAGGATCCCATTTTCTTAATTCACCCGATGTTTTTCAATAAGGATTCATTTGTTGCGGGATTGTTCAATAGTTTTGGTTGTAAAATGTTATTGAATACGGTGAAGGATATGACCATGTTTTTAAATTACGAACTATTGTTTCATATTTTATTGTGAAGATCCTCATTTCATACCATGCAAATTCACCTATCGTCTCCTTAGAGCAGGTATCCAGCCTAATAGACATCTCTTACCTGTATAGATATATATATATATATTTTTTAAAATTAATATGTTAATTTTTTAAATATTTTATTATATTTTTTCATTTAAATTATGTTAAAAATTATGTTGGAAAGATATTATAAAAATAGAGAAATCAAGAATTAAAAAAAAAACGAAGATTTATTATTTTAATTTCCACCGATTTTGTATTATGGTTAATTGTTTGAAAAAGAAATAACTGCTCATTAAATATTTAGAAAATAAAATAAAAATTTTAAATGTCTAATTACAAAACTTTTATAAAATAAAAATTTTAAATGTGAATATTAAAAAGTAAAATTAAACTTTTTGAAATAGAATAAAATTTAAAATTCCACCACAAAATATAATCTTTAAAATAAAATAAATTAAAAAAAATATTTACCACAAAAAAATAATAATTAAAGAAAGAGAAATATTTGTTGCATTAAAAAACGAGTTAACTCGATTTATGAAAACCAAATATGCGAGGACACGAACATGAGTTTGATAACTCAGTCAAAACTCGGCGATGTAATGGAGCACTCGCCGATCAGAATCTCCGCATATCACACCATTTTTATTCTTTTTGAAATTCCCTATTTCGGTTCCTCTCTCTATATATATTTATATTTACATGTTGAAATTTATTTTTCATATATTTTTTTTCATTTATCCTCCGATTTTTAATCCAAAAAATCGAAACCAGGAGAAGCGGAGATCAATAATGGGTTCGCTTTCTCCTGAACTCAGTTTGGATTTTCGATCCACTTTTGTGCCGAAATCGGTCACCGATTTCTTCAAACAGGTCTCGATGATCGATAATGTGTCCGAGAGGATCACCAAACTTAACGATTTCGTCAAAAGTTTGGAGGATGAAATGAGGAAGATCGATGCCTTCAAGCGGGAGC